ACTGGAGCAGGTGACGATTGGGTAAGGATTACAACTGATGCTGTTGGGTAGAAAAAGGAAGTGTCACATTTGTCTTGTATAGCATATGTTCGTGCAATTACATGCTCAAGATACCCAAAATATTATGGTGAGAGTTAAAGATGGCTATTGTTCAAGCGGATGCCCTTAACCTTAGAGTTAAGAACACAATCCACTGCCAATGTGCAGGGGACTGCACAGGATTGTGAGCCAACTGAAAAGTCAAGATGAAGTTTATCAACAGCTTAAGGGTTAAAGCCCCTTATTTTTCTAGTGGAAGTGGTTGCCGGGGTAATTACGCTGCTATTACAGAAGCTGATGACTCGGTCTCCACAACACGACAACCTATTTCTACAGAAAGTCAAACAAGAAAACATTTAAAAAAATATGAACACCAATTGCGTTGTATCATGTAGAAGGGCTGCTCAGGTTGGCACGTTTAACATAAGAACAGCCAGAGAACAGCACAAACGCATCGAACTTGAAGAACTATTTTCTCGAAGCAAGCTGCACATCCTTGCCCTGCAAGAATCGAACATCGGGTAGTGCATGCTGATTGCTGAGAATACCAGAATAGAAAAGATGAACAAAGGGATTCATCCAGTGATCTCATTTGCGTGGAGAAACGCAGCTGGCGCTTCTAATGGGAGAGTAGGAATCATCTTGACGAGGACAGCATATGAGGCTATAAGTCTTATAAAGTTATAAAATCTTACAGCGCAAGGATCCTCACCATGTCTCTTAAATGGAAAGCCCAGGCTCACTGTCATCACATGCTACAGTCCTACAGAAGCCTCATCTGATGAGGAGGCAGGAAATCTCTTTTGTCTAAAACCAAGGATCTTACAGTTAATTTAGTAGGAGAGGAGCCACACACAATAATTTCTAAGGACGGACATGCCTTAGAAGAAGTTGAGGATTTTAGTACAACGGAGCACGACTTTAGGTTACGCAAGGCCAAGGCATGGGCTGCCTACCACAAAATGTAGGCTATATGGAGGTCCAATTTGCGCCGAGATTTAAAGATCCGTCTGTTCAAGCTACGGTTGAATCAATCTTCCTGTATGGAACGAAAACGTGGACAATAACAGAATCTTTGAAGAAAAGAATAGACGGATGTTTCAGTAGAATGCTTCGGATGGCCCTAAACGTGGACTGGAGAGGACATCGCACCAACAAGGAGGTCTTTGGATCACTCCCAAGAGTTATTTCGAAGATACAGGCCAGAAGAATGAGGTTGGCTGGGCACATCCAGCGACATGATGACCTGGCAGCACACCAACTTCTCCTTTGGGAACCTAGGGAGGGGTAGACCACCGCTCACCTTCGTCGATAACCTAATAAGTGACACTGGACTCAAGAACACTGGGGAGATTAAGGAGCTTATGGCGGACAGAAAGCTTTGGAGACACATCATCGAGAGTCGGACTCTGAAGCCGCCTTAAGTCAAGTAATTTAAGTCATGTGCTTTGACTTGCCTTGACCTTCGTCATAGCCTCCTTCCATGACAGGAGAACACATTTGCCACATTTGCCACATTTCCACTTTGTGCATTCATATGGATTATATCTCGATGAACGAGACATCCTGTTTGCTATCGTGATAACATACTATCAATATAAACACACTTATATACTATGTAAACTATCTATTAAGTTAAGACATGAGAACAACACGTAGGTAAGACTCAGTGGGAAATAATTCACATTCAATACAATTAATGAAATGGCTAGAATTTTGTTTAAATTTTGTTTAAAAAACCCAAAAAAACCCAAAAAAACCCAATCCCAGTATTACCTTTTCTTGGGTAGGAGTTGGGTTTTTTTGGGTTACACCCCCCCAGGATCGGTGTTGGTGATAATTCGTAAAACTTTCAAGAAAAGTAAAGAAATTCATGACAACGTAATACGTTTTTAAATTATCCCCAAAAAAGTGATTGGTGTAATAAGTGGTTGATGTAATAATATTATAGTAATTCAGGAAATATAATTGGCGACTTGATCTCTTAGTTCACTGAGATGGTTATGATAATGTCCTTCTTTACCTTAACTTTATAATAGTTAAACAATATCTTCTTATTATAAATACTAAATAGTACAACGTCTAGAGTTTCAAGTAAAATCTCTCTGTAAATTCCCACGATATTTATTGATCCTTTTATCTTCCCTTTACTGAACTGCAGGTTATAAATAAATAATCCACCTTTTGGCGCTGTTCTTTCTCATGCCGAGATATACCCACTCGCGTGATCAATCTTCAGAAATTACCTGAGAACCACGGGACAGCTGACAGCCACTAAGAGAGGTCGAGTACCTCTCACGTGACACCTGGTGACCAATCAGGTGACAGGGAGAGCCCACGTGGGGAGGGATGTGGGGTACTGGTTGCTGGGTTAGAAACAATGTCTGATAACTAGTAAATTAGCACTTGAGTTGGGTCGTGGGAATTATACCAGAGAGAGAGAGAGAGAGAGAGAGAGAGAGAGAGCATTGATTTAGTTTCTAGCACTGCCATACTCACAGTTAGGTAGCCGTTTTATATTGCATTTAGTATTTTTCAAACCTCTATTTACGAGCTCAAATTCACCGTACCCAGGCCAGGCCACTTATGTTGTGGATCTTGTTTTACAAATTGACCATCATTAGCTTTACTCTTACTTCCCCGGAATCTCTCTCAGATCGGAGAGAACCAATCTGGAGACTACTCTGTGAGAATTATTTATGGTTGACATTTTGGCACCAAGCTGCAAGTATGGGGAACAGCGTCACCCGAATTCTCACAGCAGATACTACACCAATATATCTACTGCCTGTTGAAATTTAAGTGGTGTGCTGCTCTCTTTTTTCCCACGACATTCTCTCAGCATCATTATAATCTGACAAGTTTCAGCAACTCAATATCCCTCTCTCTATAAATTGTCAATTATTGCAAAGTCTCAGGCTCGCTCTCACTGCTGTGTGACGTGTTCTCTCTGCGCCCTGAGTGCGTTCGAGTACTCCTAGCACCTTTGTCACGTTATAACCTTGTCAGGATATAATTGCGTCGTTTTCCCCTAGTGCTACATGAAAGGGTTATAAAACCGTCGTTTGATCCTGGAGTATTTAAATGCGCCGTGCTGCATGCTATATGCCCAGTCTACAGCTGTCAACTTGGAAAATGTAACATTTAATTGTTTGAGAACTGATCGAATCAGTAGTCATTTCGAAGTGTAGTCATTTCCTCGTCAGCAACCTTACAGCAAATGTAAAGCTTCAAATAAACACATGTACACTTATCTATATCTTACTTTAAAGGGACCCAGACCTCTATCGGAAATTACAGATAGTTGGTTTAATTTAAGGGTGGAGTGACCTGATTGTCCTTCTGATTGATTTTGTTTTGACCTAAAGCTTGCTTGTTATGTTACGAGCTATTTAAAAGTACTTGGCAAGGCTAGTGACACAGCCCTTGAAAGGCGGTACAAAATCACGTGACCTTTTTCTCTCTGTATTTATATTGGTGTATTGTAGTGCTCGTGAATTATCCCAGCTCTTTCCACGACCTCTAGATAATCATATATTGCACACTGAACCTTTCCTCGATTCCCATTGGCCCGTTGCTGTCACGTGACACATGTGTCCTGCTTCGTGATTGGCTGGTTGCTATCACGTGACCTTTGTCTCGTCTCCGTAGATATGCTGAAGGGGAAATGGTGGCCTTTGATTGGTCCAGAAGTGTACTGAAGGGGAAATGGTGGACTGTGATTGGTTGGGAGGTGTACTGGTGTTGAGTGTTGATAGTTCGGAGAGAGCGTGGGAATTGTTGGAGTTATTTGTTTTGTACACTGCTCGCAGCTGCTGCCACACATACCCCACTCTTTAATTCCTCGCTACTTACTTTTCTTAGTGCCGTCATTTTGTAACCGTGTCAACTTTAAACACGTTTCCGGGATTTTAACTTTTAGTTGTAGCTCGGGTGCGCAGATTACTTCCTACATGTTATTATCGTTATTGGGAACGTACTTTGTGGTCTTGTTAAAGCCATGTATTTAGACAGGGAGTCTTGAGGTGATACTTGGCATGTACAATCAAAATGTTCAGTTTTCTTACCGAATAAATGTTATCAGATACTGATCCAACCCAAAGTTGTGGTCGGCTCGAAACCAGCGTTTATCATAATATGTTATTTTACAATTTACTCCCGATATGCAAGTCATTACAATTCAAGTTTTTCAACTTTTAGCGCAGCCCCTTGATATTACAAATTTTTCATGCGATGCTTCTATAAAACTTGGCAGGTACAAAGCAGACAAAATTTAAAATATTTGGGTTAAATGCCACAATCTAAAGGTCTTTGATGTTAAATTTTTCGACGAAACCGGACAATAATTATGTATAGTATCAACTGTGGCAGAAAGTAGAGTATCAACTGTGACAGAAACGTTTGACTGTCAGAATTTTCACTCTTAGGACCTACCTCAAAATCTGCTCTGACCGAAATGCTTTGATTTGTGTCTAGTCTGTATCTGCAAAAGTTAAGAGCTATCACATAACGACCGTGGAGTCTGTAGTTGAGTTCAAGCCGGACAAATTTTCATATTTGGGGAATAAGATCACGGTTGGAACTTGGAAGTCGTACTCCTCGTAGTTTGTACGCAGTAGAATTGAACAGAAACGCTTGACTTCGACCGTCCGTAAATTGATAAAGGAAGTTGTGGAATAACTGGAATTTTATATTTCGACTCGCCTACATAATTAAACTCGACTACATTATTAAACTATCTTGCAGCCTTTATAATATGATATAAACTATTCAACAGCTTTTCCAGCATCTGCCCAGGATAGCTCTTTGCTAGTTATATCATTTTTTCTTGTAGTGATCTTGTAGAGTATAGTATCATGTTTCTATTTATATCATTATATTTCACTTATTATTGTTTCTAATCGAATCTACCGATAGTGTACCGTAAATTGATCTCCAATACCTAATAGCCGTACCAATTACTGGTAACTGGTATCCCGGAAGCTCTTAAGTCTTAATATAATTTTCACTAATTGGAGTTCACGATCTCGGTAATATCTAGATAGTATGTAGATATAGACCGTTAGTCTTAGTTTTGTTTTGCTACCTTGATTATCAGACTGTTTACTTTTCCCTAGCTATAGTTAATAAGTTAAAGTTTGTAATCAAATTCTTGACTAAAAGATGGAAATGGAATGCGAAGAGAGCGCCGAAACAATCGAAATTAAGAAAGAGGCGGATGAGTACTGGGTCACCGTCGTCAAAGTAAGTATTTCACTTTTGTACCATTTTCATTTAGGTCCCAAGTTTCATCTCATTACCATCATTGCATTCTTGGTGTCATATAATTGGATCTATTGACTTCAAAATTGAGCAGTGAGCGTAACAAAATTTGATCACATTTCAATAAAAGAAAAATTCCTCTACTTCATTCGATTCAATTAAAAATATTTGATACTGCCGCAAAGAAAGTTTTGATAGACTCCTGTCTCCGAACCAAACCGTTGACTTGCTGATTTGATTTGCAATTTAGAACACAATGAAATATTATTTGAGCACGACCAGAGTGTACGGCACATTCACACACAAACTTCGGACTAAATCGCAAGCAATCCTCATGCAGGGTGTGCAATGAGGTCACCATCTAATTTACTCCTTGAACTATTTGAGCGGCGCATTACTACACTCTCCACTTGCTATATTATCAGTGCTCTGTTTGATTTCGTTCACTTATTTATTTAGTCCCTTTGTGTGGGTAACCAAACTATTCATTCCTCTGCATCCAACCCTCCCTCACAGATTTCGTACATTCCGCACCTTAGTAAGTATCCCTTCTCAAACGTGACAATAACCTTTGTGTCACGAGGGAAAATTCCCATAAGTACCCATAAAATATGAGAAATTCCCAACAGTACCTATGAAATAGGGGAAATTGTCTTTGTGAAGATGTTCGCACAGAGCAACAGGTGATCCCTTTAAGCGATCCCTTTGTGAGCTACTAGCCACCCCTGCCACCCGAGTCTGTTAATATACGGTAATTATCTTCCAGTCTGGTGGTGTTAGGTCCAGAATGTTCCTTCCCTGCTCTTTAGGTGTTGTGCTCTCATTAAGTGTTGTTCTGTCGTTTTAGATGTGTTGTCGGGCGTGTTAATTCAAGTGATTGTAAGTCGTAAGATAAAGAGTAATATACCAAACTGCAGAGTGCAATTACAAAATTAGAAAATTAGAAAAAAAAACCTGTTTTCTGCGTATTTGTGTTTAAGTATGGAGCAAATTAGACTAAATTTACTAATTTCCGATAACTTTCAGGCGATGCTGCACTGTCAACAAGTTATGCAGCAGCAACAGCAACAACAACAGCAACGTCAACAACAGCAACAACAACAACAACAACAGCAACAACAACAGAGATTATCTGCTAGACACTGTCTTCCTCCTGACTTCTCCCAACTGGGTTACATTTCTCCCAAATCAGGTACATGTCTTACTTTCTCTTTCACTTTCTCTTTCACTTTTGTGCTAGCTTACTGTCTGGCCGTTTTCCCCCCATAAATTGTTTGATTAGTTTAAGTAGCTAACCAATTCCCAGAATGAATAAAATGCAAAAAATTGAGAGGCCTGCATTTTTCTGTTTCTCTACCACATACATACTTGAGCTGCTTATTTAACGCTCCATCAGATGTTAAGGAATCCTGACGCGTGTCATTTTATATTTTAAATATTTGTTAAATTCTAGAGATTCACCAGATTTACAAATCAAATCACCGATAGGATTAATATTATCCTTATCATGCACACGAGCTTTACTCTTGTTTTAAAACATCTGAACACCTGGTTAATCCTCCGAACTCTCAACTTTGTGAATCGTGATTAGTAAGGAATCCCCCGGTTTTGGAGATTCTCCACACGTGAACCTGTGGAATCTGACGTGTGCTCTACCACACCGTACGTGTATGTAACACTTAAACAATTACAATTATAAAACAATTACAAAACACTTACAAAACAATTACTTCAGAGATGTTCAGTCACACGGAGCCAGTGATGAGCGCCCTTTTCACTGACAGACTACGAAGTCATACCCCTCCTACCAGTATATACAAACCTAACATTATTATTCCTCAATACGACCATCTCATACGGCAGGCTAGTCCGCCCATCTCTCCTCCTCAACCAGAATCAAGGTCATTAGAGAGAATTTTATGTTAATTGTGTAATTTACATGCCTGACTATCGTGATTATGTGTGTAATTATTGCTCCATCAAACTTAAACTGCAAAAATGCAATTATCGAGGTTTAATTATTGTAATTAAGCGTGATTTGATCATATAATTTTGCGTGATTACCCAGCAAAGTCGATGATTCTTGCCGTGGTAGCATGATTTTCAGTATATAATAATGAAGTACTGAATATACTACTACCCACGTTTAGTATCAGCTATTGTCAAATTTATTCTTCAAAAACTTTTAGTTTTACAAAATCTTTACATTAGTAATAGTAGATATATATCCTGTCTCCAACTCTGGGACTTATTGATCTCCCGTTAAATTAGCATATAGGTGTGGCGTAATAATTGGATTGAGATGCGCTGGAGTGGTACCACAGTACTCATGTCGACATATTTAACATATCTACCAACATATTTAACATATCTCAGTACTCATACCGACATATTTAACATATCTACCGACATATTTAACATATCTCTCTTCGCAGCGGTGCAGCAGTAGCAGCTCCAGTGGAACTTAAATTCACAAAGGAACGTATGAACGCATACCTAACAAACAGGAAGCGACTGGATAAGGAAGTGGTGATACGACACGCCAAAGTCGCTCAGAAATCATACAAAAACGAGAAACGGTGAGCTAAGTTTTTGGATGTAGTAAATATGTATTATAAAATGCATGAATGTACAGTGATTAATGAATATGCATATTATGCATTACACGAATGATAAAAATACATCCTGGAGAAAACACCGCCAATATTCATAGTTTTTTTACATTTTTTTATATACCAAATTTCGAAGACCCTTTGCTGCTAAAGAAGCCATTTTTTGTCCTTCAATTTTTCAAGCCCTGTAACAGTGTAACTGTATTCGAAAGATATCAGCAGGTATTTCAATCACAATCTGTAGTACTAAAATCTATATATTTTACTATTTTGGTTGAGCAAATCAAATCAAATCAAATCAAATCAAATAATAATGACACTAACATCATCATACGTAATCATTTCTACAAAAATCAAACTAAAATGCTAGGTACAAGATCAAGTAAAACTGTAATTAATTATGCTTTCCACTACTACATAAGTTAATAAAATGTTTTTAGCAACATGGGGATTAAACCGAAGATATTTATTATGCTTTTCTGGAAACATTCCAAAAAACCGGATTTGCTCATTCCAAACATATCCGCTCCATAATCTGCCAAACCGCTAATAATTACCTTGAAAGTTCCGATCTGATCACCACATATACGTCGCTCTGCCAGCGTTCTTAAATTGCGCAACTCAGAGAATTGAAGTCATTTTAATCGTTCTATATTTTGACAAAATTCTGTGTATCATCATTAATTGTTAATGAAACATTAAATAATCATTAGATAGACAAGAAAGTATTCTCTCCTATTACATGACATGCATCTTATTTTGAAAACTCGCCGGTATTATCTTGCTTTATATGACACTTACCATTTGCCGTCCCACTCTCAGCATGATATAAAATACTCATATTCCGGATAATATTTCAAGAATTCAATTAATGATCACACAATAATAATGTGGAGGGTAAGAGCTCCTCTACTCTGCAACTGTAGGAACCACATTCCTAACATTTTCTAGTTCTACGAATCTACAGATAGGAGGGCCTACTAAACTTAATATTACAAAGATCAAGATACCACTTTGTATCACGTGATGGAAATACAGCCCTCTGATTGGTCACGTGTCGGAAATACTTCCCACTGATTGGTCATGTTCACTAAGTACCACATTCTCAGGTTCTTCTGTCCACCCCCATGTGTGTATCTACGCGGAAAGGCTTGGGCTGTTGGGGAACACCGGCGTGGCATTCTCGAACAAAATGGTGAGTGCTTATGAATGATCAGTTTATTAAAGTTGTTTCATTATACTTCTAATTGTAAGACTCATGATTGGTCATTGTACTCTTCAGTCTTTATCAAAACAATTTAATTTACCAAATATTTAACTTATTAACTGATTACAGTAATTGATGAATAAACTAACAAACCAACCATCTAATCGTCTTTATTCGATCAGGTTTGACTCCTAACGCATTTATCGGTTTATCTAAAATACATGACGACATGCAGCAGTTACATGTGGAAGAGAAAGGGTTCGCTGCAGCTAAAACCCTCTATATATCAGATTCCGTTGATAAACGTAAACATTTCGACCTGTATTGTAAGGTAAGATATTAATTAACTTTAGTTATCTTAATATTTAAAGTAGATAATAAAATATTAAGTATTTAAACGAGTAGTTTAATGTAGATCGTCATTAGTCAAGCGTCCAGTACTGATAACTTTCCGGAAAGTATGATTATTAAAACTGTTTCTCATATGATTATATTGGAAGTGTTTCTCATCGTAAATCAGTCTAATGATACTTCCTCCCAGATGCTGTACTCAAACGGTCAGAACATTGGCACGTTCATGTCGAAGAGAATAAAAGTCATCTCGAAACCCTCTAAAAAGAAGTTATCTATCAAGAACATTGCATGTAAGTTTTAAATAGAACGCCGTGCTCTTCATCTGACACCTCGTGTTTAAGGTAATTAGGCTGGAATTATGGATAATTTTATGTGATTTTTTGATAACATGAAACAAAGCCAAGATGGATTACATGATGACTATTTATATTTCCCCCGATGGTTCAAAGTCTCTCGGTAACAAAGTTTCTTTGAATAAGTCTGAACAAATTAAGGCCTCATTAAATCTCGACAGTACTTTCGAAATCGTAGTACGAAACCCTCAAATATTTTCTTATCAGTGAACAGCAGCATACAAAATTTGGAATTAGATCTAAATATCTGTGCCAACTCTGGAGCATAACATTATCATTGATATGCAGCCAGAAATTATTTTCATATTTTTGAGAGGGCTTCAGGGCTACCCAAAATCTTAACTCCGGGATCAATTTTTCTCTTCAAATATTTATTACTTAGGGAGTGTTCACATATTACGTCAGCAGCCGAGGGGGTGGGTGGTAAAATGGCCAAAAACATGCTAACGTAATTATATGTGATCGTTCCTTTATGTATGTTGTAATATTTACCCTACTAATCACTTCTATAATCACCTGGGTTGCTAATGCCGTCAACTTATGTAAAGTGTAAACACGTAGTCATATAATACCATAAGTGATAAGAAATGACACTTCTTGCCCCATGATATCTCATGATCACATGGTATGTTCCGTGACATATATTTTTCGTGATCCCATGATATTTCGTAATAAACTCTGCTATCTAAACATCACAGATAATGTTTAAACCCGTCTTATCTAGTCTGACAAACTTATTATTCTTTTCTATCCCCTTCCGGTACGATAGTTAACTTAAAATGTAATGTTTTTGATTCTTGTCATTTATTTACGACCGTGACGTTTGTTCGGTTACTTCTTTAAAGTTTTGAAATGTCTGCTCATGATAGGCTTTGATACAACACAAAGTTCTTTTCCAGTTTTCTGGTGATTTTTTTCCAATAGAGAATAAGCATAAGCTGATGGAGTTAATCACCATTCAGACCGCTTAAATGACATTTTATGGAAAATCGTTCAAACTGATTGTTTGAATAAATACAAATATCTTAGCGTGTACATTTCATTTCAGTAGCAGCTGTGTTTGACTGGTTTCTATTTCAGTAAGTATACAGTCGGGAACACACATAGCGCTTTTCAATCGGTTACGATCTCAAACTGTCAGCACTCGATTCCTGCACGTGGAAGATGAGAACTTCCACGCTTCTTCACACCAGTGGGGGTCCTTCGCCATACATTTAGGTAGTGTGTACATTTCAGCGATAATAGATTAGATGCTGTGTTATATTTGTAATGTTTCAGTGAGACCAGGCTGTTATGTATTCTGTTATGTTTTGTAATACAGGGTGGTCCAGAATGCACTACAAATATGTCTGGTTACAAATTCTGTTTATCCGAATCAGTTAAGATTAAGCTGATACGGGAATCAGAATCATAGTGCGCAGCCTGAAATAATATGTAGTTATTTCTGGACCACTCTGTATTTAGCTGAGTTCAGAGTTTTAGCAAGAAGTTAAATTATTATATGAACTTCCGGTGTCTGCTACTAAAATATCGGGTTTACCATTTATTTAATCTTTACCAAATAAGTTTAAATGCAGTTAAATAATTTGCCTGTTTATACCAAATTTGGAACTCGTTTAGAAGTGATTCGATTTCTTTTCAAACTTCAATTATAGTCGGTCCCATTAAATCACTCGCCAAGGATTCTAATTTTTGCACAGTAGGGCCCTGAGCACTATAATATGATTTAAGTAACATTTATAGTTAAGCCGTCTTATTTAATGATCTCAAAGGGAGAATGCTGGCCAAATTCATTCAGAAAGTCTTTAAAATGAGTTATATAATGTTGGGGAAGTAATTCAGTTGTTACTGTTTCAAACCGTATAACTATTTCCCATGGTTGTATTTAACTAATACCTAGCATTTCTAATGATTATTAGATATATAGCTTTGTTTGGAATGGTTAATATCCGACATCCGTATAATATATTATTAGATTAATCTATTTAAAATACCCTTCTGGCTACGATATAATATATTATATATTATAATATATAGCATATTATGCTATTTAAAGGCAGGCGCTATTGTAAACGGTAAACTAAGTATCTTATTAACTTTTAAGTATCTTATTTACTGTTTTCAGTTTTTTTACATACAAACATATCTATCCAGATTCGGATTCATTGAAATCAGCAGCCAGGATTAGTTCGTGGGATTGTCAATCAATTAATTAATAGATGTACCGAACAATTAATCAAACAATTAATTACAGTCGATGAAGACGAAGAAGACAGTGAAGTGTTCAATGTTAAAGATGGTCATGTGCACTACGGCAAGACAGTGAAGATTGTGTGCTCTGAAACCAAGATATCACTCCCTAAAGTCGTGATACGAAAAGTTGAAAAGCAGGTCGCATTCCTCGACGCTGAAGACCCCGTATCTCAACTTCACAAGGTTAATTTCTATGTTAATTCTAAGAAAAGTAGATTAAAATCACGTTATATCAAATGCTTTTATCTGCAAATGAAATGTTGCACCATGGTTTTGCGTCCCGGTACTTGGTAATCATTCAGGCAACAAGCTATGTAACTATTAATACCCTGTAAATAGTTACTTATTGATCATTTCATCACCAAATATAGTCACTGTTTTGGAGGCGTCCTTTGTCTTCTGAGGCAATGTGACGTAAATTTAGACACATGACAGTGCTCCTGCGAGCTCATGGGATAGGCTGTCTCGTGTCACGTGTCAAAACAAACGGCCTTGTAAAGCTATTTATGGACTATAGTATAGTGTGCTGTGTTTAATTAAGGTCTTGAACACAACTATCTGCTTGCTATATGTCTGTAATCAGTAATTATATGCGATCCACTATTGCAATTAAATAATGGTCCTATCCGGATATTACATTGTTATTAAAGATACAACTGCAGCCTGTCTCTCGGTTAACCACTCACAAACTGTATATGCCAAGTTACCGATCTATTATGATGTTAGCAAACTAGACTACTTCCTTCACCACCATATTATGTTGTGTTACCGGACAATTTACTTGCTTCCGCTTTAAATTTACAAGCTGTATATTTTCCTAAATTATCTGATATGCAGATTATGTACAAGCCATATTAGTGATTGACGATACTTGACATAATTTTAACGCCCATTAATATTACAGGTTGCCTTCTATCTGAAAGATACAGAGCGGATGTACCTATGTCTGTCACAAGATAAAATTATCCAGTTCCAGGTGAGATAACTATTGAACAGTTACATTGCATGGCACTCGCGAGACATGAAATTATGGTCAAATGATCGTTTTGGAAAGGAAAACAGAAAATTCTTAGAAAATTTTCCCACGATCCCCGTTTTGGTTCTCACGCTGCGCTGACGATAGTGACTTTTCCGTGCCATAGCCATGGAAACTGTATTGTGGTCAACAGTTTGTAGCGCGCGCACGAACAAATTTATTGATGTTTTGTAGATTTGCGAATAAATCCCTGGATTGTTCGCATATTCTACCACTGAAGGCTCTGAAACTCATCTAGGATTTATTACTATTTTTAGAAGAAATTTAATCCTTGTTTAGAGAAACAGGTCAGAGTTTTCACATTGACAGATCAAATTTTTCTGGCATTTTCCCAATTGTAACACATTTATTTCTCAGGCCACACCCTGTCCAACGGACCCTAAAAAAGAGATGATAAACGACGGTGCTTGCTGGACTGTCATCTCAACTGATGAAGCCAAATACAGATTCTGTGATGCTTTAACAACCGTTAAGAAGCCCATAACTCCGGTACCAGTCGTCGAACAAATGACCGCTGAAGGATACGGCAATGGTAGGTCTCTTTGTAGTTTGTACTCTACTTATAGCACGTTGTGAAAAATCTAGGACGAAGAAAATGTCACCTCATTTTCTTGACACATCGGTCTTTACTAAGTACGATCAATATTAGGTTTACAAAATGAAACTTGCGTCTGGCAGCTAGCCAAGCATTGAAGTAAATAACTATCCTGCTTAGTAACTAACGTGACTGCTCTCCAGGAAAAGGAGAAAGCTATCTTGAGATTAGTGGTGAAGGGTTCAGTCCTAACCTGAAGGTCTGGCTAGAGAACCACGAGTGTGATACATATTACAGGTACGTTTTGATTTATATTGATCTTCATCCATTTTATTTTAGGCCACTGCTAAATGGTAGGCATAAACTGGGCTATTTCGAACCTAAAAAGGCATGATCGTTAAGTGATCCAACCAAACCATCACTGACTTATAAATGAACTATGAATGGTTTTACTATAGAAGGTAAGTTAAGCAATATTGAATACAACTCTAAACGTTAATCAAATCAACTCGTCCAGCTCAATGTTAATTTAATCCAACTTTTACTTTTAGATGCAAAGAAACGCTGCTTGCAAGGATTCCTCCCATTCAAGTATTCAAGCCAGACTGGACTTACGTCCAGCGGCCGGTAACCTGTCTATTGGTTCTTGTCCGAAGTGACGGAGTAATCTACTCAACTGGTAAGTAATTTGTACTTGTTCTGCGCTACAATTTAGTGACCAAATTCAAATTTATCTTCGTTTATTCGATTTATTTCTACCAAATCACCCTCATTTTTAATTGTAAGAACGATTTCACGATGATTTGAGACCCTCACACCCAAATTCCCCAGATAAAGAGTATGTGTACGAAGTACAGTCGCCTCCCTCCCCCGAATCCCCCCAAGACTTCCAACCCTCGTCCAGTCAATCTTCTTCGTGACGTCACCTCATCAATGCCATGACGTCATGATTCATCGTTATGATGTCGTCAATAGATGTCGCGCTGTGGTGTAGTCGTGAGAAGATGATATTGTAATTGATGTTCGGATGATCACTTCAAAGACGGACGCTTGATTGTTATGTAATGGAAGTTAAACATTTAATCATGATTCTTGCCTATACATTTTAATTTGTATTTATGGGATGTGCTCCACAAAGTAAAAGACTAACTTTTTAAAGTTAAACTGATTTACTCAACTGTAGATATATATATGTATTCTGATGAATTCAGGAACACTTCATTTTCTAAGCACGCACTTGTTTATTTTACTTGAAATTTCCCATTGTTACAATGTTTAATCCTCGCAGTAATTGATACAAATTTCAAGATTGAGATAATATCTTAATTACGACTCAAATAGTCGTTGAAATTTGGATACAAGATAAGGTCAGCTGCATTGTACCTATTGAAACATTTTATACATCATCACATGCAGCCTCGTTCAGTTATCTACCTTTTCATGTTTGTTATCACCAGGCTTAAAATTTGATTCATTTTGAATTCGAACCATATTAAATTCATTTCTCTGGGTTTAATTTTGAAAATCTTGTTATTCTTGGTCAAACCATGTCCATTTTTTTTCTTCATTTGAAATTTTGTCTAGGGTGTCTAATAACAAATATAATTTGTAACCGTTTTATAAGTAGCGATGGAGGAGAGCTGGCGCTTTGTCACTTAAAATAGTTGGGTGCAGCCTTCGAACCAGGGATGTCATTCTGTGTTACATTTTCATGTATTATTTTCATGCAGTATTTGGCTTGAGTGCCAAGTAGAAATATCAATGTGTCCTTACTTGTCCTTCAGATTTAGGCTTGAATTGCAAACATGTGACAAATGTATTACTAAAATATAACAGGATTTTGCGATATCTTTCCATTAGAAATGGCTCATATGGTTATGGGTTAGCTGTAAGTCATTTTGAACCCTGAAACCTGCCATGATTGTTTAACGTCCTTGGGCTGGAGTACAAGATTCTGGGCAGGCCGAAGGGAATCATCATCATCAAATTATTGACAGGGTCAAATCGATCTCAATTCACATCGTGATTGCTTTACTGAAGTTCAGGAATGGACAAGGAAAAGATTTTGTTCATAGATTTAAAAAATTCAATTATAAATATTAGATAATAATTCCAACGTCAAAATAAAAATTATACTGGAAGTACTTACTGATAAAATGTCTGGATAGAGATAAAAATTAAATGCATTAGGCCAATTGACCTTCAACAGCACCTTCTAGGGAATCACTTATTCAAATTAATAAATAAGATGCAAAGTTTAAAAAACATAAAAAGTGAAGATCATCAGGTCCACAAATACAAAATAAGTTAAATTAAAAGAGTCAGAACCTTCCACTTTCATCTGTGCTTCAGTTCTTTATTAAGATGGCACATTATAGTGAACGGCTTTTAGAAATGAGCTGACGAAAATGTTGATTGTAACAGCATTATAATTTCTCTAGTTTGTAATTCCACCAGAATCAGCGGTTTAAACATGTCGTGTCGCCTTCCTGCATACTGGCGCCTTCTTTACACAAACGTACGAACACAAATCATGTCCTTGTAGTCAACAAATGTCATCACCAATCCATCTTATTCTCCTTGTTTTCTTCAGAGTCCTCCATTCGACACTTCTTAGCGAACCTAAAGAAAGAAAGTTATTTGAAGGGGGACTCGAATATGGATAAATATTCTATCAATTCATAATTGGTCAGAAGATATGAGAAAAATACATTTTATAAACATTTAATAAAAGTATTTTTAGATGGTCCGTTCGAGTAATGTCAGCGGTGGAGACGGTGGTGACGCCAACTCCAACATATTTAACCCGAAGAAGAAATCATTTGTATCAACAACCATTGCATTAATGATCAGCTTCGCCACATTTAACATCCGTGGGCTCGGTGTTCAGCAAGATGATAGCCTACATAGTAAACGTGAGTTACTAGGATTAGACTGTGAAAAGTACAATGTCGACATCTGCGCTCTGCAGGAAACTAAAGTCACCGAATCAGACAGCCTTGTTTTGCGCAACGGTTTTAACTTGTTTCTGTTCGAGCAGTTGGACAGTCGCCATGGAGGCTTGGGTTTTATAATCAGTCCTCGCATGATGAACTATGTGGTTTGCTGGAAGTACATCAGTGACCGGGTATGCTATGTCGATATTTGCATCCCCTCACGTAGCGGTACACCCCTACGTTGCAGGGTGATCAATGCCTACTGTCCACATCAGGGGCTAGTCCGTAAAAATCCAGTTGTTTTGGATAACTTTTATGGGCAGCTAAGAGAGGCCAAGAATGTACCCTCTAATGTGGAGTTGCAATTTCTGGGTGACTTTAATTCAAAACTGGGTAAATTATCCCCTTCTGATATTGAACAGGGTTTTGGTAGATATATGGGGAAATACGGAATGGGAGTAAGGAACGAAAATTGTTCTAGATTACTGGATTTTATCTCAGAAAATAATCTGTTTGCTGTGAACACTAGTTTTATACAACCTAGCAGACGTGTTACATCATTTACTGGTTGGCGAAAGGATTGGTCAGCTGGTCGGTACAGTAAGAAGACACTGCCTGTATACTCTCAAATAGATTACATACTATGCCGAAATAGATCTAAGTGTCTTTTGACTCAATCAAGAACTTATGCTGGTACTAAAACATTTTCAGATCATAGACTTGTCATTGCTCGCATCAATTTCAGCAACATTCATCTTTGTTTCAAACCTAAACAACGACGTGTTCCTTCTTATAATATATCAGAACTTGTAAGCAACAAAGATATGCAACATAAATATCACTTGGCCCTTGAAGGCAAGTTCTCAAATTTTGCGACCAGCAACGATCCAAATGCCGACCTTCAAAATCTTATGTCTCATATTCGTGATGCTGCCAATGTTTCCATCGGCCCAAAACCTAAAGCTCGCTTGAAACATCACAGCAGTGATGACACTCTCAAAGAGCTTGTTGAAAAGCGTCACGATCTCCGACAGCTACTTAACAATAATCAATCTCTTGATCGAACTACATTGAGGTCATCCATCAACCACCTCACTAATAGTATCCAGAAAAGATTAGTTGAAGTGAGGTCTGCCCAAGCTGATCAGACCTATAGTGATATTACTAACACAAACGATTCAAGGAAAATGTTTGAAGCAGTAAGACATCTTCAGAAAAGTAAACCACCTAATAACTCGATTGGTGTTCATGATGAAAATGGCTGTTTGATTGCATCTGACGACATGAAAGCTTCTGTTGTTAGAGACTATCTCGAAAAACAGCTGACTTGCAATGAGCAACCTCTCGAGCCTTTTGAGGGTCTACCACGTGCTCTCAATGTCCCTTTTACTGGAGTTGAAATACATGCAGCCACCTCTAGCTTGAAAAATGGGAGGGCAAATGGTCCCGATGGAATACCCAACGAGCTAATTAAGTACTCTAATAGTACAGTCCATGAACATTATGCTGGAATCATCAACAGTTGTTTCGAGACACATACTTTCCCCATTTCCATTGGAGAGGCTACTATAACACCCTTACAGAAGCCAAAAAAACCTATTGGTCCTCTGAAGAATTTACGTCCACTCACCTTGTCCAATGCAGCCAGAAAAATTCTGTCTATGGCTACTCTTAAAAGGATAGAAGAAAAAGTGAACGCCTTCACTGGTCCATGGCAGTGTGCATATAAACGCGCTCGTTCTTGTGCTGATATTGTTTGGTGTCAGCGAGTTCTACTGTCAGTTGTCCAAAGGAAGAAATGGGAGTATCATCGCATGGGCATTGATATGTCTAGTGCGTTTGACACGATCAAACGCACTACGATTCTTGAACTCCTGAAACTGTGTGGCTGTACTGAGGATGAGCTGAGGATTGTCCGGTTGTTGTTGTCCAACACAAAAGCTACGGGTGAAGGTAAATGGGTTCTTTCAGCTGAGTTTTTAAGTCTCCTTGGAGCTTTCCAAGGTGACTGTCTATCCGGCTGTCTGTTCACCCTTGTCTTGGCTGGTGCTTTGAATGAACTTAGATGGACTATAACAATCAGTTTAGATAGGCCGATCCCCCCGATTACTATTGCTGGCCTTCCACTTGACACTGAATATGCTGATGATGTTGACTTCAATGATGAAGAGGAAGACAACTTGAGAGCTATTTTGCCCCAGGCAACAGCTATACTCGAGAAATGGAACCTCTTTGTCAATGAAGACAAAACGGACTTCACTCATGTTTATTTAGCTAGTACGGGTGAAGTCGACAGTGATGGAAAATTTGTGTCGGGGAATGAAGCATGGAGGAAAAGTATCACTCTAGGCCCTAGGGTCCGTCTTGTGTAGCAAAGCTGATATTCAGCGTCGCATAAACCTGGGATATGCTGCCTAACAATTACAAGAAGGCCTGGAGTGATAAACTGCCCCTAAACAAACGTCTAATACTGTATAATGCTTTAGTCGTATCGGTTCTTATGTACAACTCATCCTGTTGGGCCGTCCCCAAAATATTCCTTGAAAAACTAGATGTTGTTCACCGCAGACATCTTCGCACTATTTTGAATATAAAGTACCCAGGAGTCATCTCCAACAAAAACTTGTATAAACGCTGCAATGCTGAGCCATTGTCAGAAAAAGTATCTCCGTAATTTGAGTTATGACAAGAGATATTGGCGGAAATTGCAATGAAGTTCTTTATTTTTAGTTTTTGTTTTAGGGAAAGATTAGACTTGGGCGTTGTTTTTTAACTATCCCTTGTTTAGAACTTTGATTTAATAATAATAAAAGTGAGAGGATTAAGATAATCTTACTACTTGTACACTTACGATTTGAACATGTCAATAGAGGATTTAAGTGATGTTTTGGCATAGTCCAGAACCTTGGGATCACCAGACCAGTTATCTACCTCAGTTATCACTTCTTTTAGAGTCTGCGAAATAGCGTAATGTTAGTCTCGATAAAAATGTGTAATTTCAGAGCCATTTCCAACTCAATGTCGAAAAAGTTCGTTGAATATTTTTCGTTCTTGCCAATTTCGCTAGCGTTCGATGGAGAAATTCCGAATGGGCGATGAGTTATATGATTATCATTAATTAAAAGATAGGAGACATCAATTCAACAAATTTAAAACTATTACCGGTACAATAAAGGGGTCGAAAGTATCAACGTCCTTAGCCAGGAAAGGAACGCATACCCTTCCAGTTTTAGGGTGAACGGAAAACGGCGACTTCAAAAGATGGTTTAATCCTTTCGTGACGTTAACATCTAGCCGGGGATAGCACAACTGAAATAGCGGACATGTTAATCCCTGCCAAACTCCAAAATTGGGTTAAGTGGATAATTCCTTATCTCCCGGTTCCTTATTCTGAATCTTTGCTTAGTTCAATCATTTTAATGTATGATTTACCTGAAGAACAACTTCGTAGATAGCGTTATCTTTGTTAAACAGTTTTCTCTTCCCCGCATATGTGGACCATGTGCCTTTCAGTTTATTCCACTTGGTTTTACTGTCGTGATTGGATGAAACCCAATCTTTTAAGTCGTCCTGTATCGTTTTCGGAGGCAGCATCCCCAAAACCTGGTAAATTGATTTCCATTAGCTTTGTCAAACGTGTTCGAAAAGAAATTCTGCGAATTTCAAAATGCGACAATTATATTCTTGTGGGACGATATCTTATTCATTTCTATCAATTATTTACCCATCAATATTGAGTAAATGGCCCGACCTTTTGACATTTTTCTTCGGTGCCGAGGAAATCCTGTGAATCAATCATCAGTTCCTCGAAGTAGCGGGCTATAGTGTTAACTGATCGTTTGATGGAGGGATGAGGTACACCCGGGAGCGTCACCTGGGAAAACAGGACATTGTAGGTCACGTGATCATTTGATGAACGATAGAATGTGTTATGTGTCGGTTTGATGATGTTGTACGCAAGTAATTGTTAGAAACAAAAAAATTACCTTTTTAGATTGCTGGTCTCCTCCGATAACAAGAGATAAATAATCTGCTATAGCTCCCCTACCTAAAACAAACATTACAGTCAAGTATTGCAGTGAGTAACCAACTTGTGCGGTCAACTGGTGAAAACTACTATTTACTTGGCATATCAGTGAATAATCGGACAGAAGAACATACTAATACCAACTTATGATCATCGTTTACATTTATAGAGGCCGGAGGATTCACTAAAATTGCTTTAACTTAACCAGCTGTTAACGTGTAAACTGTAAATTGGCATCGTTACGAACCGCTATTGGTAAGTTTTCTGGCGTTTTCGTCAGCCACCCAGCAATGAACTCCTCGCCTCCCCGAGTACACCCACAACAAGTTACTGAAACCAAAGTCGTGTCTCAGGGCCTCGTCAATTATACGAACCGCTATCTTCATGAACACCCAGCAGTCCGAGCAGATCTTGGCTTCCGAGCAGCAGTACCTGGGATTGTGCAGCGGTGACGTAACGCGATTTTGCGGTACTTTCACGTGGTTATGTAACGCATTACGCAGCCTTTAAGGAGATTACAAATTATGGAACCACTCATTATAGAATTAGAGCACTACCTCCTATTCACATATTGTCATAGAAGTATTGTACTGTAACCTAATTGTACAAATTTAGCCACTGAAGCTGAAAATCTCAGCTAATGACGTTTGAGGAAAATTACCTGACTTCATCGTAATCAGTCATATCAATATCGAACACCACCTCCCTCTCGACAGCAGTGAAGCTACCACTTTTAAAGGACTTGTGGTCCTTGGGCTTGATGTTGTACACTGCTCCGACATCGATCTTGAAGGGGTTAACTGTCTTCAGTTCCTTTTTGAACTCGTCTTGATTTGAGAAGGATTTGTACCTGAGATGGTGTCCGTGTTGGTTCAACAGATTATTATTATACCACAGGTGCAGGAATGGAGCCAAGTAACGACCGAATATAGGAATAACGAGAAATGATAATTCAGCTCTATGTTCTTTACTTTTCTCACCTCAGGTAAATGTCACCGTTGAGGGTAAAACAAAACTCCCTTTTTGACAAATAGTCGAGATTATTGTAAGATAACCAATCTATGTAGGGTTTGTAGGGGAAGAGTCTGGAATAGTATATCTTCAGGAGTTCCTCGAGCTCTCCTGCATCCACCGACATCGCTAGTGAGAGTTATATAATGTCTTACATTTAACATTAAGTTAAACACAATAGAAGTGAATAGTATTGAAAATATCTGGGGTTGGAGAGGCTGGACAATTAAGATATAATAATAAGTTATATATAAGATATATATAATAATACTATCATAAAGTATTCCCATTTATAAAGTAATTTCCACTGCATTGTCCTCTTAAAGCTGAATAGTAAATAGAGTTTGCAGTTTTGATTCTAATTTGCTGGGGAGGAAATAAAACACAAAGTTGGTGAGTATGTCTAAAAATGATGTTTAATTGACTTAACTGGCACTCAATTAATATGTGACTTTACGGATAATATTAGCTGAAGACAGCTGCAATAAAAGTTTTAAATACACTCAACACTACATCACTAATACAACATCACTTAAATCATCTCATAGGATCTCGTGGAATATTTAGCTAGCTAACAGTTACGTTTCTATAACTTTAACGGAAATATAAGAACCCTTCATCATGACACAATACAATGCAGATGGTAAACTTCTTCTAAAATATTTTTGGAAAGATGGCGGTGTATCACTATGGTTGAACTATCATACCGTGCTTTATAATGCTCATAATTACTGAATTTCACCTATACTGTAGATCACAGTCAAATATAAAACCATCAACAAGAAACTTTACAATCTACAACAATAATCGCACACGAATTCCCAAACTCTTCTTATACAACTTCTCGTGCAGTTCTACATATTACAATCAGTGAGAGTAAATAAAAATAACTAATCTCGTGGATATTATCTAATTACATAATCTTTACAGTAAGATGGGTGTATTTATAAGATGAATCGTGTTTTGGATGTCCATGCTATACTGACTGTAGATCAAGATGTTCTAAAATGCATCTTAAATGAACAAAATGTATCGCATTGACATGTAAATAGATAAACCCAACGTTGTTAAGCTTCACCTTAAATATGATATTTACTTAAACAGGCACAGATTGAAAAAATACTAAATTTTAATTAGTTATTATAGATACAGGAGATGGTGATCGCTAGCAGCCACTTTTATACAGAGACCATGATCAAAGGAGCACTATATTGAACACAGTAAAGTTATCTAAATAAACTAAAAGGATTTAGCTATTTTCACTTGAGATAACAGCTTGACGACGCCACGTGGTGATGTGATGACGTCACGTGGTGATGTGATGACGTCACGTGACCGGTGGCATAACTCGAAGACTCGTGACAGAATCCAGCTGTCACGTGTTACTAAGCTTCAGGCATTGGTATTGCTGTAGAGTCACCGTTAGTCGTCGGTTGCTGGGTAACTGTTTCTTTCTGATCCTTCTGCTCTTCTGTTTCCTCCAAATCTTCAGGCCTGAGAAGATTTGTTATCTAGTCACATCTTCTAATTGTTAATTAGCAGGTGACCGGGATTCCCGGTACCGGGAATCCCGGTACCGGGATTGGCAATTTTGAGCTATCCCGGTCCCGGTCCCGGTCCCAGTAAACCGGGTCAAGTCACATTTTTCATCCCGGTCGCGGTCCCGGTCCCGGTCAAATGCTGATTTATGATCCCGGTCCCGGTCCCGGTTAATTCAGGATTCTTGGTCCCGGTCCCGGTCCTGGTCCCGGTCAATCACTCAAATTTGCCGGGATTTTGACCGGGATCTTTTACATAATTTCATTCACTGTGATTTTAAGTTTTTACTTTCATTCATTGTGAATTTCATCTTTAAACAACCTCTGAGCCAAATAAAACAATGTTTAAAATTGCTAAACAAGTTTAGGTAACTAATATCGTTACATAACTCATAAGTGCAAGTGTAGCCCGAGTTTTCAACTCGGGCTACGCCCAATTGTCAATTGGAATTGGAGAATGAAACTGTTGAATAATTTGAGGGATCATTGATTGAGGAATGAGGAATGATGGTGAACTTGAGTAATCAGTACATGAACATTATTGGTGTAGTACATTAGGCCCATGCCCCATATTGACGGGTTTTTTCTAGTTTTTTCTAATTTAATATTCTAGTTATTACTTATTCAAATTGTTCAATTATAATGTAAATGAAAGTTGCAGCTTTCAATATGAGAATACCAGTTTTGGTCCCGGTCATCCCGGTCAAATCCCGGTCAAATCCCGGTCATCCCGGTCAAATCCCGGTAAAATTGGATTGTTGGTCCCGGTCCCGGTCCCGGTCCCGGTAAGATAGAAATCCCAGAAATTATTGGTCCCGGTCCCGGTCCCGGTCACGGTAAATTGATAATCTCAGTCCCGGTCCCGGTCCCGGTCCCGGTCAAGTCACATTTTGTATCCCGGTCCCGGTCCCGGTCCCGGTCAGGCCTAAAATCATGTCCCGGTCACCTCCTGTTAATTAGTAAAATCTGCTAATTGTGTATCAGCCTCCTCTTCTATTTTATCATGCTTTATTCGTCATGTTAAAACAGAAGGAAACGAATGAATGGTCAGAGCTCATACTTATTCAGGATATCAATCGAAACTGTTAATTCCTCCCTATACTAAATGAAATTACAAAACAACAATCGTCTGACGCCGGAAACATAATCATCTAATTTAAGAAATTACCTGACATCACCAAAGTCCTCTTGTTCTCTGTCTAGTTTACCGCAACAGTTACAACAGCAGAAGCAGCAGCAACAACAGAAGCAACAGCATGTCAACAGGAATATTATCGTACCTATCACCTGAACACGTTTAATGTTAGTGGAAGGGGTAGTGACTAGTGGATGTTAATCTTCAAAATAACATACAAATTTACAACACTAGGTTTTAACCCCATTTTGTCCAGTTTTAAATAGGTCATCCCGTTGTTAATTAACACATTAAGGGCCCTGCTACCGCCTAGGCTATGACTTCAGAGTTCGCGTACGTCAAATACGGAAAATGATGACCTAATATTCTAAAGTCAAGACTGCGAGATATGAATTGACGGAAAATTCCGTTTATTATTCATTTTTTTTGACATAGTATGGATAACTAAGGAAATTAATTAAAATTTGGATTCTAATAATAAATGATGGGCGGCAGACTGTTCCAAGAATCCGCGCGCCCGCAGGAGCGCGCAGTATATTTGACTAGCAACTTTGTTTTACCGGGAAATTGGGTGAACATTTTGCTAGTAAAAAAGATGCAGACTAAGAACCATAATTTCGCAAGTGTTTGTTCTTGCCCGTACCGATGCTAAGGCCTAAGACGGTACGTATTACGTAATAGTATTTCAGTTGAATAGGGCAAATGAACAAACAATAGAAATCCTCTCCAAATCACACGAGAATATCAGGACAACAAACCAAAATTAACGTGATTAGGCAAATTTAAGTAATTGATGAATTATTTATATGGCTTTAAATTTTCCTCTATTTCCAACGTTCAACCGTCATTGGTTGAGCTTTAATACAACTTCGATTTGACTTTCAACTCCATCACACTATTCATGTAAAAAAATTGTGCACTTCTGTGCAAAATGTTGATTTATCCATTTGTCATCCTAAAAATAAACATTGCGGCCTGTTCCACTCTTTACACTTGCGTGGTATGATGTACAACTAACAACAACTATTTCCTTACACGTACTTGGTATTTCTGTGAAATGCAATTACGCACAAACAATTATTCTACACTCAATATCTTGCAGTGTCAAGAAGTGATGTACACGTAATTAGGGGGGTCACCGTCCGGTAATACCAGGTACCGTACTAAATAATGCGGTAATATCGGGTACCGTACTAAATAGTCCAATCTTGTCACCACTTCAGGGATTTAGCGATCCACATTCCACATGTTGAAAATCAAGGAAATATTGGGTAACTTAATTTGGGGGCAAGCTACCAAGCAGGAAGTGATTACGAACATTATAATTGTAATAGAGCAGGGTCGGTATGTTGATCACACATGCGGCCAACTGAACAATTTTCTGTTGAATTCCAGGGAGGTCAATCAATAAATAACAAGAATTCCGCCGCTGTTTGATCATAAATATGTTAATGTTTCAAAATTAGCCTTGACATATGCGACCATAACAGTAATATAACAGTGGCCATTTTATGCAATAGGCGGCACATTATGAGACAGTTTTAAGTGGAGTCATATCAGAAGTAGCAGGAATTAAATTGTTTCCTCTTCATATCAGTGTGTATTAACTTTTAGTCTATCTGGCTAGAGACTGGCCAGATAAGAAATACGGGAAGTTCTACAGAAATTGATGTCATCAAAATTTTTGAAAACTTTTGTTTGTATCAGGTTAAAGCTATCACAATAACCTAATAATAAATTAATCGATTACGAATTAATTAACTATAAATGAATTATCTAGCTCACCCGACACACAGTGCTGTTCATACAATAGTATACGCCAACATTCTGAAATAAATTTAAATTAGATTTGTAATATATGTAAATTAGGTAAACCAATTAAACCATAAACATTAGTTTTGGGTACTTTTGAGTTTTGGATGTAAAGCATTTGGTCAGTGGTTTGGTCCACTTGCGGACCGTGTATAAGAAGAGCCTAATGTACAATTACGGCACGGAAGTGGCATGGTAGGGCTGTTAGAGATGTGTATGGGAATTTCATACAATACATTTCCGCAAATTACACAGATAAGATAACATGTAGATAAGATAATATGCAGTTTTTATCTGAGTGATTAGGAAAAATCCAGGTTTTCAAAACGATTTAAAAACTGAACTAGTAATGCAATGACGCATCGTTTACTAACCATACTAATATGTTTAACTATGTTTAACCAATGTTAGATAAATTTACTAACTACGAATCAATTAACGGACGAATCAAACAAGCAATTAAGCAATTAGGAAATTAATCACCTCCTCGCCGAATTGTTCAGCAATTTGCAGACCGACACTACCGTATCTGTTGTAGATTTGTCGCTTCTGATCATCCATTAGTATCACATTGGCGTGATTTATTTGCTTGAACTGAAATGTGGGAGTGTAAGTATTGTTAGTGAATCAGAACTAAAATATCAAAATTTGCTCTTCATAAAAAAATTATCGATTTTTACATTCCACACACTATTTTCAACTCACCCTGTAGTTCAGTATATTAAGTAAAACCCCGATTTACTGCGGCTATTTCCTTTCCCCAAACTCCGCGGTAAATAGGGGCTTTACTGTAATCATGATTTAAGTATCGGTATTAGATTATATCCCAGTTTAAATCCGTGAAAAGCACAGTTCAATAAAGACAGTACTGAAAGGATATGGTTGAATAATTACTGAAACTGACACAGTTCAGAGTAATAACAGTAATGTTGCTGTCTAGAATCTGTCTAGTGTCACAGCAAGAAGTCACGTGTGATCCAGTAGTAGCAGCTAGGAGGGAGATTACCAGTCTAACTACCATACTACTGGTATACTGGCTAATTACATACTGGCTTCAAGCCACATTCCAGTGGCTCACCACCAGTAATCATAATTAGACAGCTCTAATTATGTTATTACACGGTACACTCTGCTTACATACACACAGCTTTGATTAAATTGGGTTTCTTGTTCGGCTGGATTGTACTGTTGTGTACTTTCTTACTCAAAAGAAGTATCGTGTATTGTATAAAAATCTACGTTTAATGACACCAATGATAGAGAAAGTATCGTGTGAGTGTTTCTTTGTCCGGCCAAGTCATTCATTGAAAATATTATTTCTTTTTTCATTTCTGTGAAAATGGATCACCCTCCTGCCACCTCAGTGTATTGTGAGCAGCCGAGTTAGTGCCCCGGGAGAAACTGCAATTTCTGCACTCCACTTTTGCTTTAAAAGTTGAATATATTTATTACGAAATCTTTATACCATAAATGGAATGTGGTGAAGAGGTCCTGCTCACGTCGGAAAAGTTCTCCTTTGTAATTCCTTTTATTTCTCCTCTTAAGAGCACATTCCTTGTTACGGGCACGCACCCCGTACAAGTCTGCAACTAGAGAAGCCTGGATCGTAGGTGAACAAAGGTATGCACGGATCTCAAAAGAGGTATTTAGCATCGCAACGACAAAAGGAAACTTGCAGTCAACTATCCTGCATGAGGAGTACGTAGAATGACCACTATTATATAAACGAGGAGGAGCTTTGGAGCTTGAATTATTTTTAATTCAATCATTTAAGTAGGTCTCAATATGTACCGACATCACAGGCAGAATGCTACATGTAGTCATTTTCCACAAATCCAGCATAATGATGAATTTACCACATAACTTCCCATAATTGTGGCACGGCCGCTTTTTTCAGGAACATCAATGACCGATACTAAAATTATTTACAATTATAGAATACATAGTTTGCAAATAACATATAAAATGTCATGGACCGTTTTTGAAACGTCCCGCTCACATCGCATCGACTAATGCCGCATGATTGCTGCATACTTCATGAAGATCTGCAAGATAATCACAACAAAATGCGACAAAGTACACCGCATTTCGGGGGTGACCGGTGACGGCGATTAACCCAACAGCTTATTTGTAAATCACGTGACACCAGCCGATACAAATGTACGTCATCCATCCGCCCACCGTTAGTCAAGTAGCTCTTGTGATCGTGGTCGAGTGTTACAAATTCATTTGGACAAAAATAGCGCAAATTAATCTGTTTAGAATTGAAGAGGATAACACTATGTATCGGCGGGAAATCGTGGCATTGGTTAAAGTTAGTTTTTAAAATTGTGTAAATTTAATCTCAACTATTCAATATTGAATGGCTAATTGAGAATTGAGATCAATAAGTTTGGACAGAATAAGTCTTTGAAAGCTGTGCTTCGATATTTGAAACATGACTGCAATTGACCAATGAGCTTGCTGCATCGACCGAGAAATCTGTCACGTGTCACAACAAACACCGTCTCCCCGTTGTTAGTACAACCAACGTCTAATGCACTTTGAAATCTTATCTTATAGGATCACACACATTCGACTTGGCTTTAAAACTCTACTTTTGTATCATGCAAAACACTTAAACACTAGCGATTGTTGTCTACGTATGAGAAGCTCACTTGTTAACGATATTACTGTTCGTTGGCAAAACCCATAATACATCTATTATAAGATCGTTAAAGTTGTTCGATGTGGAGAGTATAACTTAAATAGTTTGCATTTTTAACATTTGGGAGCCCAGGGAATGTTTTGATGACATGCTTTCTAAAATCACATGATCTGTACAGAATTCCTGTATAATTGCCACATAGTACATAATATATTGGATTATGTTTAATAAGTCTAATTACACATTGTAATCCCCAACAAAGATCATGTGTCAGGTAATCAGGCCAATCAACTACCCCTACACTATGCACTATACATTTCAACTACATTGTAACTACAGACTTGTATATACCTGTATATTGCTACATTTTGTACATTCGATTTCCTGTATGGCCGTTGTGCAAGCCGAATATAACACAAATTTTAGGTATGTAGTTAAATTATTGCCGTAAAAACAATTTCGACTGATTTCCACACGCGAAAATTTAATAAAACTTGTTGATTACGATGGCATTATGGTCAGAAATACATTGTAAATGTAATTCTGTTTTCTGAAAACCTCATGAGAGTGATAGTACCTGTGTGAAATCGTACATTCCCTACATTTTATGACCAGTCAATATCCATGTTATCTCCACACTACCCCTTGCAATGTACATCATGATGTTGGAGATCAGTTGCGTTTCAGCATCGCAGTACCCAGTGTATAATTACGAGAGTACACGGCAATACATGGCAATACATAGTAATACATGGCTAATACATTGCAATAGCCAATACATGGCTAATAAATTGCAATACACGGCTAATACTTTGTAAGTGGACTTAGATTTAATGCACTGTATTAAGTGGAATACGACCGTCCTCATAGGATGTTACTACAGCCAAATTGCAGACACTATTTACGTATAATACAGCTTGAGAGTGGATCTGTGCTGAGTCTATGCTGCTCCACAGTGAGTATAATACAACCACTTTAAAGTTTGAAGGAAGTTGTAATATAATTGTTACCGTCCAGGAAATTGTCAGGGAAATAAACGTACTCTTAAATTACAAAACTACCATGATAAGAAGATAACTCAACGATCAGGGTGGTGTCATCTGTAACCGGACTGGAAAATAAAACTCACATCTTACCCTCCACTTGTCACGGTAATGTACGCTAGCTACAAACCCATCTGAGATATCACGTGACCTGCGCTATCACGTGACCTGCAGCTAAACTAGTGAGTTCTAATCAAGTTCCTTATGACTTGTCACGCGGAAAATAAAGCTGGCAATCACTTTTTAGCAGACTTGAAACCGCAAAGAATTACGCAACACTTTAGTATTGCAAAAGTTTAACAAGATTAAAAATAACATAACCGATCCAGCGGCCCTGGTAATACCACCTATCTCCTGGTTGTAGTCACTCTGAAATTATCCAAACTTCTCTAATCTCCGCCTAGGCGGGCCCCGCGAGCCCGATTTTGCCTTTCTAATCTGGTATTACCAGGGTGTTACCGCCCTGGTAATAGCCTGGTAATAGCCTGGTAATAGCCTGGTAATAACCCTAACCATGCCCTGTCACATTTTACAAAAGACGAACATACTCTTATCCCTTATCTGGCTGTCCAAGCTTGTGGCTCATTGGTTTAGACTCAAAATTAATTCCAAGGAGAACCACACCTTAATTAAACTCTTAGACAAGAGACTTAATCTGTGGGCTATAGTCACAAAAAGCTGAGAACGATTAACACAAGTTTTTTAAAGCTCCTGCAACTGAAAACTTTAGTATCACTATTCAGTTATAATATGTTTCAAGAACCCCAAATACAGAACTATATGCACAGACCCAAAATAAGCTGCATAGTTTCACAATAGTACACCGAACACATGTTCACGATAATCAAGGGTTCAACTAGTACACTTTAGAAGTACGGTTATTTAAGTTGTAATAAAGCGGTTGAGTAGCTAGAAAAGTGATATTTACATAATATGAGTATATTCTTGAGAATATGCTGGGTTTGAGTTACCTTATCTGAAGCTTCTTCATTCCCAGGATTCTTATCGGGATGATATTTCAGAGCCAACTGCAAGGGGAGATTTGTTAGGTTCGTAATAATCACAATATCATTTTTAGAAGCAATATAGGAGACAAAAATACTATTTTTCATTTAAAAAATACACGATTAAATTGCATCTTTAAATTGTTGTTATGGGTGGCCTCAAATTCACTACTCATATATTTTCGGGGTTAAGTTAACCTTGATAGAATTTCACACATTGTACATTGTACATTGTACAACACACAACCTAAGGAATTGGTGAGTAAACTCAATTTGTATTATTCCCAGTACAACAATGGTTTAACAAGAATGTACAAACTACAACATACTGTGGGATACTGAAGGGAAAGGAAGCAGTTCTAACGAGCTCTTCTCAAACACAAGGATATATCTTGTGAACTTGGCTAGTATATATGAAACATTTGATATGGAGTTGTAGAGGGAGTTATGTGCCTCGCCGGGCTAAAGTAGTGGATGACCTTGCTGTACGGCAAGTTAAACAAGGATCTGAAACTACTAGGTTCCGTACAGACTCAACTCTGCACCCGTGTCAATATGTTCATTATATGCAAGCCTCTTGCTTTATAATCACCGAGTCTAGTAATTGTTTAAGAGAGTTCTCTGGCAGTTACGAAACTCGAGAGACTGTGGGATACTGAAGGGAAAGGAAGCAGTTCTAACGAGCTCTTCTCAAACACAAGGATATATCTTGTGAACTTGGCTAGTATATATGAAACATTTGATATGGAGTTGTAGAGGGAGTTATGTGCCTCGCCGGGCTAAAGTAGTGGATGACCTTGCTGTACGGCAAGTTAAACAAGGATCTGAAACTACTAGGTTCCGTACAGACTCAACTCTGCACCCGTGTCAATATGTTCATTATATGCAAGCCTCTTGATTTATACCTTGCGATACGCCTTCTTTATTTCATCAGGACTAGCTTCTTTGTCCACTCCTAGGATAAGGTACAAACTCTCACCTGCGGTGCTGAAAATATAAGTTTGTGAATTATTCGATAAAAATACACGCAAGAATGAACTACCCTGCAATGGATCCCTGTATAATGAGAAAAAAATCGACAATTAAATTTGCCGGGAATTTTTGGCCGGTTATATGTATCAAAATTATGTCCTTTCAGTTCAAAATCAAGTTTTAAATCTAAAAAATGCAATAGTACCGCTTTTCAGTTCCAGGGTCCAAAAGTAATTGTTTCAGAAAGAAAAAAAACTCAACAATATTCAATGATTGTGACAATCTGAGCAACCAATCATGCAGATCTGTGGTACTACATAATACCTGTTATCGGCAGGTTTCTGCATTAAAATGACGCCTTATCCCGATAAGAACTTTCTCCTTTTACTCAATGTATAAACAATTATACACAACACCGATCCTTTTAGCTTTTTGAAAACTTAAGAAATCCTATGAAAGCATGACATACTAAACAAATAATTGGTCAAATTTCTCAGATCGTTTGGAGATGTATCTAACTCTCAAATGAAACTTAGGAATGAAATAGAAAGTCCAAATGTCAAAATAAATTTTTTAGCATACTGAGGAAGATCTTTGTTAGTTAAAATACAATTGAAAAGTGGTATTAAAAAGTATTTACATCAAATTCATAACTTCATAACTTGAATGGCTTGATACACTTTGGTTCTGAATTTTATTGGTTCTATTAGTAAAGAATCTTTCTATATCTTTTCCAGTCTCAACTCATTGTCTTGTAACCCGTTCCCAGTCCCGGCTGAATACAGTCTTGACTAAACTTTTGATCTTGGCTAAATTTCAGGTCTTGGCTATATACCCAGTTCTGACTAAATTTCAGGTCCCAGCCATTTTCACTGTCAAAATTCCTGGTACCCAGTTCCGGTCACACATTAGATCTGGGTCATTGTACATCCTTGTGATTGAACTCATAACTTGAAGAAAAATTTGTATATTTTACTTACATAATACAGTACAACTACATACATAATGTGAAAAACCAAAACCATGAATTACCACAACCCGATTGACGACGACTTGTTTCCCCAAACTCTGTAGTCTGTGGTAAATTGCAGTTCTACTGTATAACAATAATATTCAGGGAGATTTTACTGTACATTGCATCTGTGCTTTAACTGACCTGTGAGAACGCTGAGAACGAGGGCGTTTAGGATCTCCTGGTCCACCCTGTGGAGGTATTGTGCCGTACTCACCCATCAATCCATATCTATCATAACATATCTAACTAACTGAAGTAAACAGGTTAGTTAGATACATTTTACGTGAGAAAGGGTTTACTTACAGCTTCAAGTTCAATCCAATTATGCTTAACATGAATGTCATGAAAACATCTGGCCACCTTATTGACATTGTGAATTTAGAGATCTCTTAACAGTTCGGGACAATTAACATCAATATATAAACCAGTGGCGAAACATATTTTTGTGCTGCCCCCCCCCCCCCCACAATTTCTTTGCCGCCCCCAAAATTTCATTGGTCCTAAAAAATAAAAAAAAGTTGGGCCTCCTTTTTTATCCACCATAGCTACAGCTAAGAATAACTTTGCCACAAGCCTTTCTCTGCAGGAATGTGTCGTCCATAGTCTCAGAAACGAACCATAGACTTGTAAAGCTTGATTTGATGGGCACAACTTGTCAGAGCAAATTTTCTCCAGGTGCTCAACTATAAATTTGAAAAATTGCTGTACTTGCATGGCAGGGGTGTGCTAGTGAGGGCGATCGATTTGCCACTGGCCGAGATTTCTTTGTTTTATTTTGTAAATTTATTACAATAGGAAAGATGACATGATTTATATTAATCAGACCATTCAATTTATAAATATTATCATTAGCAATGTAAAGTGTTGTGCTCATATTCCTATAGTCAGCTTCTCAAATAACATCCGAAGCCTCATTGAATCTAATTCTTGATTCACCCTATTATAAATTGTAACTTTTATTGGGGCTTGTTTACTGCAGACTTCACTCCAGGATCCCAAATGAGCCTGGAGATTCAGTCAAGGCTGCACTTCCAGTTCCACGCGCAATGGCTTCATTTTGTTCCATTTGTTTCTGAACCCTTGTATTTTTACCTTTTGTTTTGAAGCCTTAGAGTAACTTCCTTAAATTATTTTAATGCATTTACTCAGATAGGTTTTAAACCAGGACAATTCAACAAAGACACATTCTGTCCAGTGCAGTAAGGGGCAATGATTGTTTCAATTATGTATCTGTATAGATTTATTATTAATACTACGCACCTATTTAAAATGTGAACTCATGATTGAATATTTCTAAACGAGCGTGCTAAATCACTCTACAGTCGATCTTCGAGATTTTCTAAAAGGGCCCCTGACAGTTGAAATCCACCTGATTCGATGTATTTTAGGACACTGATTCCGAACCCCCCACATGACATAGGGTTAAAATGCTCCCTTAGCGAGATATCGGCGAAAACTGTATCGAGATATTACCATATAAGAAAGTTGGTATAATTTCTCGTTAGGGTTAGGGTTTCAGCATATGCTTCATTTAGGAATTGGGTTAGGGTTAGGATTGTGATCAGATTAGAGGGTTAGAGTTTTGAATAGTCATTCAGAGCCACCTAGAGGACGTGTTAAAAAATTCACGTGACAGTCGAGTGTAGAGTGATTAATCATCACCCATTTCTAAATGGCAAATGGTAATTATATTAGTATCCATTATATTAGTATGGATGAGGATTCCACATCAATGAGGATACTTGATTGAAAATATCGCGTTACAATGAGGATACGTGAAAAGACAGTTAACAATGAAATTACACATATATCAAAACAATAATCAAATAGAGACACAGCACAGGTGACAGGGAGTTCTGTAATATAACAATAAAATTAAAAACATCCTAGGGCAGTTTTGAGAAAATATGAGAACATTTGCTTCAGCGCTCGATTTTCATACTGTACTACGCTGTAAATTTCAGGCGAAAACAGTAACGCATCGCGCTACAACCTAACTTTGAGCTACAATTAATTTTTTGAAATTTTATTCGAGTCGGGGAAACAATTTGATTCACGATGTCAATCCTTTGCATATCGCCGATCTGTGGTTGCGATAAGCATTATTTGATGCGCGCGCGACCCAGTAGTGCATCGCGCTACAAGGAAACAATCCAATTATTTTAAAACTTGCTTTACGCTGTGGCCCCTGCTGCATGCCACAATTGTGCGCGGCCATTTAAGTGAGGCAACAGGCAAATAATTACAAAATGGATATTAATTATTAACACATGACAAAACTGAAACTAAGTTAATTAAATTATTGATTATGAATCAGTTATAAACAAATAATTATTGCAACATGCGACATGGACAAATTTTCTTAACGGATTTCGAATTAGCGCGCGCCTGGTTAGTTCCTTAATGGTGCAATTTAATGGATTTTAAAAATTAAAATTTTTTAAAAGAGAGGCTGGGCCAAGTTAGCCCACAAAAGGATAGCATTGAAATGCTCTGCTCACCTTTGGGGTGTGGAAACCGTGGGGAAGGTTGCCGGGCCGGTGAAATCAGAGTGAGTGGTGGAGGATGGTGTAAAAAGTCAACATGAGTCAAAATGATACGCCTAAGTGCTTAACGGGTGATACTCGTAAAATATCTGTGCCATAAAATATCTGTGCTTCGACGAGTCCAACTCGGCGCGCGTCCTGGTAGGTTGTAAACCTACAACTAAGTGCCAACTGGAAAAGTAAAATGAGACGAGACAGCATATGAGTTGTAGGTTTATAATCTACCAGGACACGCGCCGAGTTGGACTCGTTGACAGTTGCAGTCGCGGGATCCTGATATTTGAAACAAATATTTTACAAGTATTACCCGTTAGCATATGAGTTAATACTTTAAGTCACCCCGGTCTGATGGCCGATGGCAAGTGCTACGAAGTAGCGCGCGCCGGGCCAGACCATTAACAATGGTCAACGGAATTGACCATTGTTAATGGTCTGGCCCGGCGCGCGCTACTTCGTAGCACTTGCCATCGGGCCAGACCATAGAAAAACGTAGAGTTTTACTCCACATTTATGGAGTAATTCAGACATTGGCTACGACCTATGTCACGTGACGTACGCGCGCAACCAATTACAAGGCCAGAATTTAATCACGCTCAAAGTGAGCGCTGTACTCCAAGACAAGCGATTACGATTGGCCAAAACTGCGCCACGTGATGCGCCACGTGATATATTTTTTAGCCACTTACGACGTCAGAATTGCATGTCACATGGTATATCTACTAACGCGCTGAATAGATTTTAGCAAAATTTGGTGAATTCGCTGCCTTTTCTCATTTGCATTACTCATTAGTTCTTAATACTTGATTTTGATAGATGTCGCTTGCTTGTAGTTGTAGTTGTATCGTTGCCAATGCTATATGCATTATGCCGTAACATAACTCAGCTGAAACATGTGCCATACTGAGCAATCTTATTTACTGTTCACATCTGTTCCATTCCTCATAGAATTGTATTTCTCTCAGATTTTGTCGAGCTTTTGGCATCGATCAACAGTTTATCTACTCCGTATTATCACGCCCACTTGAATGATCAATCGATAACATAATATTATGTTAGGCTTTTATTTCATTATGTTATTGTTTACTGTTTTTAGCATCTTTATTGCTTGTGATATGATTGACTAAAGAAATTAGTCATGATTTAAATCAGAACTCTAAGCTGATATCTTATTTTACGCTTATACTCATCGTTGAGCTCTTGCTATTTTACTTCGATATTCTTAACATATCTTCTGATGAAACTTGTAGCGATGAACTTGTTTACAACATCCAACATCAGTCGAACTTATCTCTGTACTAGATTCTTATCTGGCCTGAATTTGTCATGATACATTCCTTTATCCGCTCTATTGATATAAATTGTACACTTCTGCACAGTATGATGGTTCCACTACAATTTACATCATGATTATTACACTTAAAATGTAACTGCCCATGAATATGTGATAACACATTAACACGCCCCGCAGCTAAATGGTAATACATTTGATACACCTCCGTCCTCCCTGTTGCCATGGCGACCATCATTTTCTCTTACAACTTGCTGTTGAGTTTTGTGATATAACATAATAGTGAAGGGTCATCAATCTGCAATTTACATCATGATTATTACTCTTAAAATGTAACTGCCCATGAATATGTGATAACACATAAACACGCCCCGCAGCTAAATGGTAATACATTTGATACACCTCCGTCCTCCCTGTTGCCATGGCGACCATAATTTTCTCTTACAACTTGCTGTTGAGTTTTATGATATATAACATAATAGTGAAGGGTCATCAATCTGCAATTTACATCATGATTATTACTCTTAAAATGTAACTGCCCATGAATATGTGATAACACAAATTAACACGCCCCGCAGCTAAATGGTAATACATTTGATACACCTCCGTCCTCCCTGTTGCCATGGCGACCAT